TCATTTGGGCATCTAAACTGTTGTGTCCTGGGCCATCCTCCCAGGTCACTATTTTAAACCATTCAAAATATATACATATATATATATATATATATATATATGTCACAGTATATAGCATAAGAACGTAAGTGTTCAACATGACAAGGTTGGCAACCATTTGTTGTTCTATATTCTGTGTTACCTAGACAAACAAGTATCCTAGAATGGCAACTCCCAGGACTTTGAAGTGGTTACATGAGCAGGTGATTTAGTTTAGAACAGTGGTCCCCAACCTTTTTGGCACCAGGGTCTGGCTTCATGGAGACAGTTTTTCCACAGATGGGGGAGGGCGGGGGAGGCGGAGCTCAGGTGGTGATGCACGGCCTGGTTCTAGGCAGGCCACTGACCGGTACCGGGCCACTGGCCAGGAGTTGGGGACTGCAGGTTTAGAATGTATAACTCATATTTTTGCAGCTAAATGACATTTTCTGTTTCCCAGTAACTCTTTATTTTTTATTTTTTATTTTTATTTTTTTTGAGACAGAGTCTCATTTTGTTGCCCAGGCTAGAGTGAGTGCCGTGGCGTCAGCCTGGCTCACAGCAACCTCAATCTCCTGGGCTCAGCGATCCTACTGCCTCAGCCTCCCGAGTAGCTGGGACTACAGGCATGCGCCACCATGCCCGGCTAATTTTTTGTATATATATTTTTAGTTGGTCAATTAATTTCTTTCTATTTTTGGTAGAGACAGGGTCTCGCTCAGGCTGGTTTCCAACTCCTGACCTTGAGCGATCCGCCCGCCTCGGCCTCCCAAAGTGCTAGGACCCAGTAACTCTTTAAAGCCATTTCTATTGCTTGAACATCAGTTGCAATTCCTCCTCTGGAAATGTGTACTTTTCCTCCATTGTGCTGCTCATTCCCTGGTGTCCCTCTAACATCCCAGCCCTCCCCCAGACCCTGGGCCACACCTGTCAGCTGTCTCTGCCTTGGCAGGCTGGCATCTCAGAGCTGCACCCCTGGGCTTCTCTACTCTGCCTTCCAGGTGGGTTTGACTGTAAGGAAGTGTCGTTGGCTTTGACAGCGACTGTGTTGCTCCACCACACGTCCTGGTGGGTGGTCCCTCTCGCCTGGCTGCAGCCCTCACTGGGGGCCAGGAACTCACCGCGCTCCCCTTTGCCTTTTCAGCCCAGGGAATGATAGAAGCTTCTGCTGCTGCAAGTTCCTGATGCTCCATCAGCCCTTCCTGAGTCTACGGCCGTGTGGTATGGGCTGACTTGTGTACCCTGCAAGTTTGTATGCTGACGCCCTAACCCCAGTATTCCAGGGTGACTGCATTTGGAGACTGCATTTGGGTCTTTAGAGAGGTGATTAGGGTTAAATGAGGCTGTTGAGGTGGACCCTAATCCAATAGACTGGGGTCCTTATAAGAAGCAGTTAGGACACAGAGTCACAGGGGACAGCCATGTGGGGACACAGGGAGAAGATGCCGCCTGCAGGCTAAGGAGAGAGGCCTTAAGAGAAACCAGCCCTGCTGACACCTTTTTTTTTTTGAGACAGAGTCTCACTCTGTTGCTTGGGCTAGAGTGCCGTGGAGTCAGCCTAGCTCACAGCAACCTCAAACTCCTGGGCTCAAGCGATCCTCCTGCCTCAGCCTCCTGAGTAGCTGGGACTACAGGCATGCGCCACTGTGCCCGGCTAATTTTTTCTATTTTTAGTTGTTGGGCTAATTTCTTTCTACTTTTAGTAGAGACAGGGTCTCGCTCTTGCTCAGGCTAGTCTCGAACTCCTGAGCTCAAAGGATCCACCGGCCTTGGCCCCCCAGAGTGCTAGGAGAGCCTGCTGACACCTTGATCTTGGACTTCCAGCCTCCAGGACTGTGAGGGGACAAACAGCTGTTGTTGAAGCCGCCCAGTGTGTGGTGCTGCCCTGGCAAGCTGCGACTCCGTGGCAAACAGAAGTTCACCCAACTGCTCATGTAGCCTTGGGGGTGTGCTGCCCGTGTCCTGGGACCCCCTCCCGCAGCCGGCACTGCCAGTGGTGCCATCCTCTGTCCCGTCATCAGCCCCCCGTACCATCACCATCTCTCTACGCTTGTGTATCTGTCAACACTTAGGCCATGGATACCTTTTTACTGAAATGCTGCTGCAGGACTCACTTTCACATTAAGGTACTTAAACGGAAAGAGCGTGTGGAACAGAGGAGCCCAGCAAAACTCAGCTCCGCGCCGTGCAGAGCGTCCGGTCATTTCTATGCAGGTCCGTCGGCGTCGCTAAGCCCAGAGTATCTGCGAAGGTGCCGCGTGAGCATTTCCGCTGCAGCCGGGAGCCCCGCCGACGATGGAGGGGCAGGCCAGGCGAGGCGAGCTGGGGCTTTTAGCAGGGAGCTGGAACTTAGGGACATCTAAGGGGGAGAAAGGAATCATTAGAGTGAGAGTTACTACAACAGTGAAGGAAGCTATCCAGTGAAACCTGTTTTAATGATACAAAATAATTTTGCAGAACCATAGGGCCGGATGGGACTTACTGAGACCTCCCGATTTCCCTCCCCTCCACCCCATGCAGTCTCCGCCCTGAGCTGCCAATGAAAAGTTTTCTTGTCTCCCAAGGGCTCTCACAGACATTACTCCATTTGACCCTCGAGAAAATCATCTGAGGTAGGTAGGAAGAGACTACCAAGCTCAGTTTTACAAATAAATGGAATGGAGGAAGAGGCAGTTTAGTGACAGCCCAAGTTCACGCAGCTAAAAAGTGCCCCAGCTAGGCCTGGAGACGATTCTAGGCCGGGGGGACCTGGGTTGGTCCCTGTGTTTTACACTCTACTCATCTGCACATGCGCACCATCCCCCCAAAATGGCAAGGTCACAGGTCGGCATCCGAACCGGAACTCACAGTGGGGAAGGATTTCTCCTCGACTTCTGGCCGTGAGCAGGAAAGGGGAGAGAATGGGGAGAGGAAGAGAAAGAAAGAATCCGAGCTGAGCTTGCAGGGAGAGACGCGCCCTTTGCAGCCTGCCCTTACCTTGGTCCAGACTGCGCAGGGAGAGAGACACAGAGGATTCGGGGGCAGAACGCAGCCACCGTGGCCCCGAGCACGGTGCCCGCCTGTCACGCCATCCTCAGCTGGCATGTCGCGGGAGTCCTATCAGATCACTTGTTACATCTCTCTAATGCCATGGCGGGTATATTTGCAACACACACAGGGGGTTTCTACAAATCTGGGAAAATCCTGCTTTCGACTGTCATTGGCTCAGAAGTGGCATCAGCCAGTCCCATCTCTCCCTCCTCTCCGGCTGACGAGGTCCCTCATTATTCCGCAAGGATGCCCACACCTGCGGAGGTGCTCTTTGTGGCCCTCCCTTATATCTAACCTGTCCTTCAAGGCCCAGGTTCCCCAGGAAGCTTGCATGTCTCAGTCCTGAGGAATTTCTCCAGTTGGATTCCTGAAGCCATCATGGCTGGGCCCTCTGGCTTAGCGGTGAACGTGTGCTGTTGGGCACTGGCGTTCATTTCTGAGTGTGACTTTGTCTTCCGATGAGACTGCAGGCTCCCTGCAAGCAAAGCTGGAATCTTGTACTTCGTGGAATTGACAGGTGCCTGCCTATAGTAGGTCCAGACACGTCTGTTGATTTTTCCGGGAAAGAGTGTGCAAAATGGGGATTAAAGTAGCAAGTTGTTAGCACTGAAGAGGAAAAGGGAGAAGAGATGGGAGTAAATAATCTTCCCTCCTTTGGAGTTTTCAGTGCTGGTTTAAGATCCCCAGCGAGTGAGCATTTTCAGAGTTGTTTCAAGATCAGCATAAGGCAAGAGAATAAGTAGGAATGTGCTTTGTGCTCTTTTGGTAACAATGAAGAGAAAATAATACCTGTTGACAGAAGAAAAAGTCTAGCCCTCTGACATACAAGAATGGGCTCGTCACATCTCACCTGTAACAGTTTCAAATTTAATCCTATTACCATGCAACGCTCAGCTGCCGCTGCACTTGAGGAACCCCTTTCTCCCGAGTCCCCGGGCGGTTCACAGGCCCGGGCAGGCTCCGCACAGCCCTCCTTTTTCACTGTGGCAGGTGGCAGGGCCTCCCCCTGCTCTCCGCCCCTCTTGGTGGTTGTCACCACCCACCCACACTGTGGGGTTTCTCTTCCCTCTGAGATTGGCTCCGGGAAGGTGGTCTCCTTAAAGCTACCCTTGTTGTCCCTGAAAACAAGCTCATGGACCCCCTTCATTTTAAGACTTTATTGTCTATCCTTATCAGAGAAAAGACAAGATTTAAGGGGAAAACATGGGATGTTATATAAAAGGGTAAAAATCTTACAATGCTGGATCTTGGTCTATAGCATACTGGGTTGAAATGCGAGTAATACGAGGAATTGGCTTTGTCCCCAGTGTGTGGGGCTCACGAAACTGCTCGTGGCTGGCCCTACTGGAGTCGTTGCTCCTTGGTTAACTCGGCGGCGGCGGGGCGCGCCGGGGGCGTGGCCGCGCGCGCTGTGTCCGCCCAGTGGTGTCCTCCCCTGGAAGGTCCATCTTCTCAGCATACAGACATAACGACAAGGAGCATCTTAGGATAATCGAACCTTAACATCGAGCGGTTAACTTCTGAGCACCCTGAGACTGGGCAAGGCATGTTTCACTACACCTCTACCCTACGTGGGATTCTTCCCGGAAGGGCATTTTCCTATGGCTCCTCAGTGATCTTTTATCCCTCTTTTAAAATTATTATTTTAATTATTATTATTATATTTTTGAGACAGAGTCTCACTTTGTTGCCCAGGCTAGAGTGCCGTGTGCGTCAGCCTAGCTCACAGGCAACCTCAACTCCTGGGCTCAAGCGCATCCCTCTCGCCTCAGGTCGTAGCTGGACTACAGGCATGGCCACCATGCCGGCTAATTTTTTTTGCTGCGTATATATATTGTGCCAATTAATTCGGTTCTACTTTATATAGCGAGATGGAGGGCGGTCGTCGGCGCTTTGCTTCAGGTGGTTGTCGAACTCCTGATCTCGAGCAATCCTCCTGCCTCGGCCTCCCAGAGTGCTAGGATTACAGGCGTGAGCCACTGCACCTGGCCGATTTTTTAAAATTTTTGGATAGGTTACTTTTCCATAATGCATAGTTCAATATTCAAAACTTACAAAAGATTCAGTGAAAAACCTCCCCCTGCCTCCTCCCCTAACCTCTCTGTTCCCCTCCTCAAGAGCAACCGAGATTACCAGGTTTTTGTGTCTCCTCCCAGAGTTGTTTTATATACATGTGGGCAAATGTGCACACAAAATGCAGATAGGTTGTCCCCTTCTCCTTTCCCACACAATTGTAGCATACTAGAAACACCACCGCTTTTTGCTCAGTTTATATTTGAGAGTGTATGTATGGGGTGTGTGTGTGTGTGTGTGTGTGTGTGTGTGTGTGTGTGTGTGTGACTGCCACAAAGCAGTACAGGAAGAGCTTCCTCAGTCTTTCAACGGTTGTATAATGGCACATTTACAGATGGACCAGATCGCTAGGTATTTTGGCTGTTTTCAGTATCTTACTCTTACAAGCAATGGTGATATAAATGGTCCTGACAAATGTGCATGTCTCTCTGCTGTAGCCGTCTGTTTCCGGGAGGGCCAATGATGCCGACCGCCGTGCAGTCTACCAGTATTCCCGTACTGCACTGGAGCCTCATCCCAGAGTATTCCAGTCCTCGGCCTGCTACTATGAAGAGGGAAGGATGGAACCAGGTAATTTAAATATATTTTTCTCATCAGTTGAACTTACTGTTCTTTTTGTTGTTGTTCTTTTTTTTTTTGTTAAGACAGGGTCTTGCTGTGTCACTGTCGCCCAAGCTGGAGTGCAGCGGCATCATCATAGCTTACTGCAGCCTCCAACTCCTGGGCTCAAGCGATCCCCCCACTTCAGCCTCCCGAGAAGCTGGGACTACAGGCATGCGCCACCATGCCTGCTTAGTCTTTAAAGTTTTTTAGAGATGCGGTCTTGTTATGTTGCCCAGGCTAGTCTTGAACTCCTGGGCTCAAGTCATCTTCCCGCCTTGGCCTCCCAAAGTGCTGAGATTACAAGCGTGAGCCACCAAGCCAGGCCCTACCGCTTCCCTTTTTAAAACCCTATCCCTCAACGTTTTATTATGACTCCCAGTTGAAGGGTGATGTAGGTAATATCGTATATAGATATGGATTGTCGTGTTTGGAAATCATAAAATCAGAAGTTGTTTGTTCTAGTCATGCAAACACAGTTTAAACAGACCCCTGTAAATCGCCTAAGCATAGGTGGAGGGCTGAGCAATGAGTCCATGATGGAGAGAAAGGCTCAGGGTATAGAGAAGCCAGCTGAGGATGGCTGAGGAGGCTTCACCCCGAGGGATGTTCTTCTAGGAGGAGGGCCTAAGAGGGGTGACTGCTAGTGGCAGCTTCATCCAGTGGAATGGACCCTTCATCCCCAGGAGGGAGCTGCTCCATGGATATTTCCATCCAGGAATTTTTGGGGGGGGCGAGGGGGAGGCCCTGCAGTCTCCCATCTGCCTGGGGCCCAGGAAGCTGCTCAGACCTGTTGGTCACCTTCCAGGGGCCCCTGCTTTGGTCAACACCTAGGAAGGGGCTGTTCCCCTGTCCTCCTAGCTTGTTCTGCTTCTGCCAGAAACAGAGGCAGAGTGTTAGGAAGAAGTAATCAACACAGCTCTAAAGAAGCCACAGGCCTGTCTTTGTTCCTGGCTTATCTTTTGTGTAACCTTGGGGTAATACTTTCAGCTGCAGAGGAAGACTTAAGCCACTGTAGTCAGGGTTTTGAAATTTAAATCCAAGACTCTGTGACTACATCACACAGCCATCCAAGTAGGTGAAACGAGATAGGGATGTGTTGCAAAACGTTCATAGACCTTAAGGTCCGAGTGATTGTTGGTAATGATTGTGAACTCGCATTTCAAAATATCCATGTCTCAGAAAATTGGATTCCAGTACAGTTGTGGTGAAATACCATATTACTAAATGCTACACACACACACACACACACACACTACATACATACATATATATATTTTAAAACCCAGTAGTAACAATGATTAAAACATATCATAACTAATATGTTTATACTAATATCATATAATTTACATAGTTCTTCTCTTCTGGTAGATCCTGAATAGAAGCTAATTTGTGTCAAATAGTTTGTCTTTAAATAAAGACAAATAGCCCTGTGGCACCTGTCTAAATGTTCAGCAGAAGAGAAGCAGGTAGAATCACTGCAGTTGGACCAGGGTGATTTATTATGTACGGCCCGGTAAAACTAGAGGCAACAAGATAGAACAAGTAACCTAGGTAAGCTCCCTTAGCGGCAGAGGAGAAATGCCAAGACTCTAAGTCGTGGTCCCTCCTGTGAGTTAGCTGTGCCCCCAGGATTCTTAGCAAGCAGGACTTCTCTTCTCTTACGTGTCAAAAAATTAACCACCACCATGATTGTGGTTCTTAAGCAGTGGCGTGCACAGAGTGCAGAATTCACGGCGCCGAGTTCGACGCACGTGCACGCTGCACTCTGGGGGCGTGGAGTAAAACACGCGGCCCCGTGGGGAGTACACGCGTGGAGGTACGCACAGGCTCCGGGCTGCACAGAGGTCGTGCAGGAGGAGAAAACATACGGCTTACGTTTCATGTAGCCATTGATGCAACCATGGCTTACTCAGTGGAAACTGTAAGAAAAAGGAAAGACAAAGGAGAAAGAAAAAGAAAAAGTGGGAAGGTCAAGGAAAAAGGGAGAAGGAGAATCTTGTTCCACAGGATGGAGCTTCCTGCCAGTGCCTTCCAGCTGCCTGCGAGTCCCTCCTGCCTCTGCTCACCATCAGATTTCTCTCATCCTTCCTTGTGGTCCCAGGTAATGATCTAGTATGATTTTCACTGCTGCTACTACTGCTGTTACCACCGCTAGCTACCATTTACTGAACCCTTACTTTGAGCTAGGTTCTTTGCTAAATGCTCTAACTCCATTTTACAGATGATGAAACAGCACCTCGGAGAGGCTAAGCAACTTGGCCAAAGTCACCAAGCAACTAAAGTAGTGGCACAGTGGACTGAACCTAGGCTGTTTGAGTCCCCGTTTGTGTCCTTAAACAGCAAATAATAATAATATATTGAATGGGGGGAGAACAAAAACATGTTTTAAGTACATAATATATACCTCGTATTTAGTCCTGACAACAATCCTACCAGGTGTTATCATTATTCCCATTTTATAGATGAAGAAACTGAGGCTTAGGGAGGTTAAGTAACTTTTTCAAAGTCATACTGTTTAGTAAGAGAACCCATGTTTGTCTGACTGCAAAGCTCATATTCTTTCTTATTCTTTCCAAGTGGAGTTCCCAGGAATTTCATTGGTTGAATGAAATAATTAAAAATCTCTTCCAGCCAGGTGCAGTGGTTCACATCTGTAATCCCAGCGCTTTGGGAGGCCGAGGTGGGAGGATTGCTTGAGCCCAAGGGTTTGAGACCAGCTTGGGCAACAGAGCAAGTCCCTTTCTCTACAAAAAACAGAAAAATTAGCCCAGTGTGGTGGCACAAACCTGTAGTCCCAACTACTCAGAAGTCTGAGGCAGGAGGATCACTTGGGCAGGAGTTTGAGGCTGCAGTGAGCTGCGATGATGTCACTGCACTCTAGCTCAGGTAACATAGCAAGCAAGACCCTGTCTCAAAAAAAAAAAAAAGGCTGGGCGGTGGCTCACACCTGTAATCCTAGCACTCTGGGAGGCCGAGGCGGGCAGATTGCTCGAGGTCAGGAGTTCAAAACCAGCCTGAGCAAGAGTGAGACCCCGTCTCTACTATAAATAGAAAGAAATTAATTGGCCAACTAATATATAGCTGGGCATGGTGGCACATGCCTGTAGTCCCAGCTACTCGGGAGGCTGAGGCAGGAGGATCGCTTGAGCCCAGGAGTTTGAGGTTGCTGTGAGCTAGGCTGATGCCATGGCACTCACTCTAGCCTAGGCAACAAAGTGAGACTCTGTCTCCAAAAAAAAAAAAAAAAAGTCTTCCTATGGATATTTTTAGTTTTGTGCATTCAAACCAGACAGATATCATTATAAAACAAACACCTGGGGAGTTCATCAGCGTTTGATGAGAAGTCTAGTAAAGATCACCTGCACATAAACCATGGCATTCACTGTTTTGTAAAGTCTTCTGATTTAGTTAATTATGTTTTCTGGAGTTCAAAGAAAAAGATGAGAGAGGAGACAGAAACTAGTTTTTATTGGCTTAAAATTAGGATTCACAAATGCAATGAATTTATTTTTCTGGTATTCTATGTACAGTCACATCAGTGGCAGCTGTGTTCTTCAGGTGTCAGGAGAAAGAGGGATGTGAACGCCTAGAGACCTGGGGGGCTCCACAGGCCCAGAATTTAGCCGGGCGTAAACTTTAAAGATGTAATTCAAATTCTCATTTTATTTTTTTATTTTAGAGACGGTCTTGCTCTGTCACCCAGGCTGGAGTGCAGTGGCTTGATCACAGCTCACTGCAGCCTCAAACTCCTGGGCTTGGGTGATCCTCTTGTCCCAGCCTCCTGAGTAGCTGGGACTACTGGCACGAGCCACCACACCTGGCTAATTAAAAATATTTTTGTAGACATGGGGTCTTGCTATGCTGCCCAAGCTGGTCTCAAACTCCTGGCCTCAAGTGATCCTTCCAACTCAGACTCTTAAAGTGCTGAGATAACAGGCATGAGCCACCCAAACTCTTATATTGTAAGTGGGAAAATGAAAACTCCAGGCAGCTGAATGACTACTGGCTAACAGTAGAGTTGAAACTAGAAGCAAGGTTTCCTGATTCTTAAACCATTGTTCTTTCCACAACATGATCCCAGAATCACTTTAGAGTATATTTCTCTTTTTTTTCCCTCTTTTGACCCAGGGAGGAAAAAAAGTGAGAAAGCTTGAAGAAGCATTTTAAAAAATCAGGTTATCCCTGTAAAGTTATCTGAAGGTAATTTCAGAGGCTGGAATTAACAGAGCACAGGAAAAGATAAGGTCTAATCTAAGGCAATTAGAGTAAGCAGGGGATTAAAGACTTGTGTTACTTGGATTTGGGTGAATGCTCTGAGACAGCTTTTAGAGAAGGACCTAGAAAGTGAGGCCTTCTAACTCCCCTGTTAAAAGTTCAGGGTGAGACAAAAGGTATTTGTTTTTATACTTAGTAGGAAAAAAAAAAAGTGAAGCAAGATGTCAGCTGGGGTCCTCTCATTCCAATTCCAGGGCCGAGGAAATCCAGAGCTCATCACCTTGTCTTTTGTGAGTTGTCCCAAGGAGCTTTCATTTTCTTGGCCTCCTAGACCTCTAAGATCTCGCTTCCTTGTGTAAATCGAGTCGAATTTACCATAGAGATGGAAGGAGGTTTTACATCCTAGTAATAGCAAATAAATTCAACTGAAACAGGTGTATCATTAACACTGCCCTGGCCCCTCCGCCTTGCCTAATCTCAGCTGCTCTCCTCTCTCCTCTCTCCTTCCCCTCCCCGCCCCTCCCCCTCCTCTCCGGGAGCAGCAACTGCAAACTCTTCCTCTAATCTCCAGCCCAGCAGGTCTCCCCTCCTCTGAAGCCCTGGAGCTGGGACATCCTTCCCCTCAAGGTCTCAGCCCTCCCCACCAGCTTATCAGATCTTTCCCCCAAGGAGACAGCTCAGTCCTTCCCCAGGCGGCATTTCGAGGTCAGCTGTTACGATTTTAAAAAGAAGTCTTTACACAAGACTAAAAATCTTTGAAGTTGAATGAAGATGGTATCTCACTGTGCTGTGGTGTTTATATTTTTTAATTGCTTTGTTCTGTATGGAATTTTATTATAACGAATAGCAACGGGGGTTTCTCGAAATTTATAAAATTTTCATTTTAGTCTTTGAAATTTATAAAGCATTAGCGATCAGATCTAAGCTTTCTTTCTTCCCGTCTAACATCAGTCATCACTCACATCAAAAACTGGTTAGATGAAGCGGCTGTAACTAAGGCAGCACTTGGGGACCCCTTTTATTTTTATTATTTACTCATTAGCCCTGAAAATCATCACCTACTGGGGTCTCCTTTAGAACTGAAGGCAGAAGAGGAAATCAGGTACCTTTCCAAGGGGGCGGGTTTTGAAAACTCAACCCTATTAAATAATAGAAAACATCACATGCTCACAGCAATACGTGCAGATTTGAAACCATTTCCCCCGAGAACATTTCTCTTTTCTGAGAGAATGCTCATATCCGAAAGCTGTAATGACAGGCAAAAAAGGAAGTGATCTGATGGTCACGTTCCTGGAGAGATGACCTAAGGAATATTCTTTGTGCCCTTTCACACTCCTGTGATCTTTTCTCTTCCAGCTGTTTCCATTTAACACACCCCCTTTTCTGATGACAGGAGCAAGAGGTCTCCAGGTGTTCAGGTCTCAGGTAACTGTCCGAGGTTCGAGGGTATGTCACTGTCATCCTTGCTCCCTAAGTTTCTCCCGCTCACCTGTTCCTCTAGTCCTCTCCTGCAGTCTTCCTCCATAAACCTGTCTACATGGGGTGGGAACTTTCTATCAGATGAATACCTGATTTTCTGCATTGGAATCACACCTGGGCTGTGTCTGTCATCACAAAATGATCTCTGTGGCTGCAGTTGCCAGAGTTTTACTCTCTACTCTCCGTCAATCCCCTAACTGGATTTCCTCTTCTTTCAGGTCTCATAGGCAGCACTTCTTCATTTCCAGTCATCTTGCGCCACATAGGAGGCTGGTGAGGGCAAACTGTCACCCTGTGGAGAGGGACCTTAGCCACACACAGCCTTGTAGCCAAACAGCCAGGCTTGTCAAGGCCAAGCTCATCACAGGAATGAGCCAAAGACCACAGCACACTTTGGGGGGATTTAATTATGCCTTATGCCTTTTATCAAAACTACTAAACATAAATAGTGATTATAATTAGGACATTTACCGAAACAACACAAGTTCATTTACTAATAGCTAATTGTCCTCTATCATTGCTTACTCTACCCTGGTTTCCCTTTCAGTCTCAATTAGCACAACTTTTTTAACTTTTTAATTTATAATGAATATTTCAACTGAAGCAAATCCCGCTCGTGTTGGACAGATGGTTGACGTCCAAAGCCCCCGGGATGGCTCTGGTTAGCCACTGGTTTGTGCGTGTTTCAGGCAGGAGAAACGTTTGGGCTGATCATTTGCAAGCTCGCATCACCATCAACTTTTATCGTCCTTCAAACTCCCTTTTCTCCCTTGGATTTCTCTTCCATTCCTCGCCCAGCAGGGGCCGGAAGCCAGGCAGCAGCATGCCGTAATGGCCCATGTGCTAAGCCTCATAAAGTTATTTTTCTCAATTAATGGTTTCACTGACAATTTTACTGCTCTGCTCTCAGCTCCCGGATTCCCTCAGGCGTCTGTACACGGGTCTACAACAAGCCTCGTCCAGCCCAGCAAAATCGGCCCCTTGGAATACAGACTGCCCTATTTAACGAAGCTCATCTCGCTCTCTTTTTGGGGGAACATAACACTTGAAAATACACTTAAACAGAAAGTAATAGAGCTTTCAAGCAGAGCTATAAAAGTGATTTATTCATGAGTACCTACTTACTCGTCTCCCAGTTGACATCCATTTTATATTAATTTTCCTCAAGAGTGTTTCCTCGGCTCTTTTCAAAATCTTTACTACTATATACGAATTTTTTATGCCACCCTATTCCTTTCTACTTTGCACCAAAGACTCTCATGTGCTGAAAGAGATCCACGGGGCTGCAGAACCACTTTTTGGGAAACTCTGCTGTGAAGTGATCATGTTCCCTAGTCACAATTACTGACTTTAGTAGGTAGTGTGTTTGCTGTTTTTAATTAGGGAAAGAAAAGTTCTTAATTCATTTTTCTGATGTTAGTGTAAATGCACTTTTGTGACCGTGCTCCGCTGGCAGCAGGGGAGCTGTGGAAAGCATCCTTGTCTCTTAGGTTCCTGGAACCCCCCTTACAGAGAAGCAATTTCAGGCAGCCCCTGCCCCTGCCCCAAAGGACTCATGACAGAAGAAAGAACAAATAATCATAATACTCCCTTTATACTGTATAGTTTTCAAAGCAGTTTCATACACATCAGCTCATCCACTCTTTTGGTCAATAGATGAGAAAACAGAGGCTCAGAGAGATTAAATAAAGGGCATCTTCAAGGTCACACGTCTCATCTGTCAGTCAGTGTCAGAGACCAGGATTTAAACCACCATTTGATGATTCTGATTAAAAAAAAGTCTATCTCCCAAATAGGATTGGAGATCTAGTGGTTTTCATGAACACGATGGTGGTGTGTCTTTTATCAGCAATACTCACCAGTGACTGTGCTTTTCTTAGCCTAGATCTGTCCTGCGATTTATTTTTCTTATCATGTGACTGTCGGCCAAAGTCTGGGGTCATCTCATTTCTCTTCTTTCTTCTGTAAATTGGAAAGCAACGGGAAAATTATATATCGTCATTTTAAAACTCTGATGGTTTGCATAGCTATTCTTCCGTTTGATTTTGTGTCTCTGCGGTTTAAAAGATTGTCTCCACTCAACTGGAAATAAGCCAAATGTCTATCAATAGAGAATCAGCTGGATAAACTCTGGCACAGCCACACAATAGAGTACTAATAACTGTAAAAAGGAGGGCAGAATATTTTTATGCACAACTGTGGAGGGATCTCTAGGAAATACTGTTGCATGAAAAAAAGAAAGGTGGATAAACTGGCATGTATTGTCATTTCAGAAAGGAGGTATTAAAATATCTTTCTAAGTATATTTTATGTATTTGCTTATACTTTTCATTAATAAAATAGAAGGATTAAACCATAAAGTGAAAAATGGTTATCTGTAAGTAGGATTCCCATGTGAACTGATCAGGAACAGGGAATATGGAAGAACAGGGGCCAGAAGCTAGACTTCTCTCCAAATATACCTTATTTTGTATATTCAATTTTGGAACCATCTAAATTTTTCTCAAAATTATAAAATAAAATGAAGGGAAAAAATACCTAAAATCTGAAAAGGAAAATGAAACAAATGATCTCGTCTGTCGAGTTGGTGGCATGACTACACACAAAGGAGTTATTTCATGTGACTTTAACACAGTAATTTTTCCAAATATCCTTAGTAGAATATACCCTAAGGATAAAAACACAGCAAGGAAATCTTAAACTGTTTTTAATAACTCTATTGCTTGCATTCATATACTATTAGTATTTGTTTTCTAAAGCTATCATATATATTAAGATAAAGCAAGGATCAGCCAACCACAGCTCACAGGCCAAATCTAGCCTGCTGCCTGTTTTTATAAATAAAGTTTTATTAGAACATAGTCAAACTTATCTCTTACTTACAGTCTATGGCTATTTTCAGGCTGCAACAGCAGAGTTGAGTAATTGTGATAGAGACCAAATGTCCTGCAAAGTCTAAAATTATTTCTTGCCTGGCCCTTTATAGAAAAAATTTGCAGACCTTTTTTTTTTTTTTTTTTTTACAGAAATAATGGATCTAGGCAATAAGCATCCATGGCTACCAAAAAGAGAGACAAGCAGAAATTATGTGCCTCATGATGGAAGTACACCCCTAGTTCATCATATACTCGAGTCTCTAGGTCTGCCAGTCTGGCCAAGGTCAGGGGACAGGGGAACATCTTAAGCTGCAAGTTGGCGGTGCAATCAACAAAATCCAGAATGTGAGCAGCTCTCCAGGATAAGTGTACAATTAGATGGGTTCTGCTAGTTGCACCCATGCATGCAACTAGCCACCACCACAATCAAGAGAGAGAACGTTTCACCCCTCCTTTACAGTCCATCCTGCCCCCATCCCTAGCCCAGGTGTCTCCTGATCCACCTTTTGTCACTATGGACTGGTTTGCATTTTATGTTAAGGAAATCATATTTGGACTTTTTTGTGTCTGGCTTCTTTTCCTTAGAGTAACCGCTGTGAGATTCACCTATAATGTTGCTTATATCACTAAGTTTATCCTTTTTACTGATGAATATATTCCATTATATATCACATTTTTGTTTATCTGTTGAACATTTGAGTTGTTTCCAGGATTTGGCTATAGTCAATAGAGCTGCCTAAACACTTACGAGCAAGTCTTTGAAAGTTCCTTTATTTTCTTAATTGCTGAGGGTTTTTATCATCAATGTTGAATTTTCTCAAATGCCTCTTCTGCATCTTTTAAAATAATCATGATTTTTCTCCTTTACTCTGCTGACATGGTGAATTATCTTAATTGATTTTCATAAGTTAAGCCAACCTTGCTTTCCTGGAACAAACCACACTTGCTCATGAAGGATTATTACCTTTTTTATTTCTAGTTATGCTAATATTTTATTGAAGAGGGGTATTGGTCCCTCTTCACTTATTTTCATGAGGGGTATTGGTCTGCAGATTCTTTTCTTGTAATGTCTTTGTCTGGTTTTGATATCAGAATAATGTTGGCCTCACAAAAGAAGTTGTGTAGTGGTCCTACACCTCCATTTTCTGGAAAGGCTGTTGTAGAATTGGTATCATTTCTTTACCAGTGAAGCTACTTAGGCATGGAGTTTTCTTTGTAGGATGATTCTTAACTATGAATCCATTTCTTTAATAAATAAAAGGCTACCTATGTTATCTATTTCTTCTTTCTTGTTTTTGTTTTGTTTTGAGATGAGGTCTTGCTATGTTGCCAGGCTGATCTTGAACTCCTGGGCTCAAGCTATCCTCCCACCTAGCTGGGATTATAGGTGTGTGCCACTTCACCTGGCTTTCCTTTCAGAATTTATAAGTAAGTGTAATATATATATAATACATATTTTATATAAAATACAATAAGTAAATACAATGAGAGCCAGGTTTCTTACAGTCAGAGAAAGGAGATACAAACATGGGAAGGGGAAAGACCAGAATGAACCCCATGGTGCTAGACTGCAATTTAATATTAAAGTATTGAAAGAAGATGTAATGTTAAATCATGCCAGTTACAAATTGCAAACAAATCATAATGACAGGGCAAACTTGCTAATAACGGTTACTTTACCTTTCAATTACTAAAAGCTTTTGTATGTCACAGTAAGTTCTACTTTCATCTCTTTATATACTGAAGTGCCAAGAAGTTTTTTCCAAAAACAAGGAAGTTGAGAAGGGCATGAGCTGCTTACCCGTGCCAGACACTCTGGATGGGGTCGCAGTTGTCTAGGTAATTAAAGCGAACGATGTCAGTTGGGTGCTTATCAGAGGATCTCCAAGGTGGAAGTTCTTTCTTCCCTGGGTTATTGTTCTTCCTTAAAGAGGAAGATGACCAAAGAGCCGATAGAGGAGACTGCTTTTCCTCTGGAGAATTGCTTGTAACTGGCTGGACATCAGCAATTACAAATCCATCTTTTGGAGGTGTCTAGAAGAAGAAAGTTAATTATTTCTGTTCTCAAAACACTGTCTTAACAATAACAATAAAAACAAAGAATGTCATCAGCAGCAGCATCGTCTTCAGTAGCAACATCATTACTATCATCATCCTCATCACCATGGTAACAATAATGGTGGTGATGATCACAGCAGCCACCACCCCAGGAGTACTTGCCCTGTGCCAGGCACTGTCTCAGGCAGTTTTCATGTATTATCTTATTTCTTTTTTAATTTTTCAATATAATTTTTATTTTTGTTTTAGAGACAGGGTCTCACTCTCTTGCCCAGGCTGGAGTGCAGTGGCCCAATCATAGCTCACTGTAACCTGGAATTCCTGAGCTCAAGTGGTCCTCCTGCCTCAGCCTCATTTTGAGTGGCTGGGACTACAGGTGCACGCCATCATGCCCATTTAACTTTTTAACTAAAAAAATTAAAATTTTAAAATTTTTTGTAGAGCCAAGCTCTCACATAGCCAAGGCTGGTCTCAAACTCCTGGGTTCAAGCAATCCTCCCGCCTCAGACTCTAGGATTATAGGCATGAGCCACACCCAGCCTGCATTCTCTTATTTAAGCTTCACAGTGACTGTAAGGTAATAATCATTTTTACTTCCATTTTACAGAAGAGGAAACTGAAGATCAGAGAAACTAGTTAATTGTACAGGACCAGAATTTGAATCCAGGACTGTCTTGCTTCAAGCCCACACGCCTAACCTCCCTATCCTATACTGCCACCTGCTCTATCACATCATTGTCTGCTTTGTCACAACTGCAGTGAATTTCCTGATGAATAGTACACGTTCCCAAAAGACGCACTCCAGCCCTACCGACCTCTAACACACAGGGACAGTTTCGAGTTGTATAGAGGTGGACTGTACCTTTTATCAATGATTAAAACCTCAGCCACTCCCAAGAATACTTTTGCTTTAATTTCCAAAATCTAAAGTCTGTCTTTTGTGCATGAAACTCCTAAGTCTCTAATGTGGTTGTAGCCTAAGGAAATGGGTATTGGTATGTGGAGAAGCCATTATGGGCTTAATTTTTGTTCATTAAGAGATTAGGAAAGCTTTGCTTGGTAAATCGGTTTGCTTCTATTGTTTGTGAAAAATCAAGAAATTCCCCAGTCTCTCCAAGCATAATCAGTCAGTTTCTCATCCTTGTTTCAGCTGCTTTTTGTGTACAATTCTGTTACAGGATAATACTTAGTACTCAGTGCTGTGCTTTTCTGCTTGTCTATTTCCTAGGCTCTGAAAAGCAGGGTTAGGATCTGCATACTCTTAGCACCTAGCAGACAATAGTGTTTAGTAAATATTTATTTATTTAATGAATGATTGTAGCCTAGTAGCAGATTAAGCAGACATTTTATATTTATATAATTGGCAGCCCATTATTGGCTTAATATTCAATATTTTATGCAGGTCTCATTTAGAATGGACATTCATTTCATTTCCCTGAACTTATATTGAATTAGATCTGTTTTTGCTGAAGGATGTCTAGTTTAACATGAGGGGGTATAAATAATACAAGAAAATAAGAAAGAACTTCAGGGGGAAAATTCAGGCATACATGCTAGCAATTATATATACAAATTCTTAATTCTGGAAAGTACAAAATGCTTGACACTTTAACAACAAAATAGGTAATAATGAAATCTGTGACAACTTTTCTGAATTAAGTAAACAAAATATTTGTTCACATCACCTGAAATCTTTTTGAGAATGTTTTTTATCATGAGTGAATGTTGCATTTTGTTAACTGCTTTTGTTTGTATATATTGAAATGATCATGTATCTTTTCTCTTTTGTTCTGTGAATTACATTGATTTTGGGGCTATTATGCCAATCTTACTTTTCTTGGCCATCATGTATTATTCTTTTAGGTATTACTGGAATTAGTTTGTTAATTGTTTTTTGTTTGGTTTTGTTTTTTGAGACAGAGTCTTGCTCTGTCACCCAGGCTGGAGTGCAGCAGCAGCATCATAGCTCACTGCAACCTCAAACTCCTGGGCTCAAGCAGTCCTCCTGCCTCAGCCTCCCGAGAGGCTGGGACTACAGGCACAGCCACGCCTGGCTAATTTTTCTATTTTTTGTAGAGATGAGGTCTCACTTTTGATCAAACTGGTCTTGAACTCCTGGCCACAAGCTTTTCCTCTGGCCTCCCAAAGTGCTAGGATTACAGGTGTGAGCCACCGCACCCGGCCTAATTTGTTAACACTTTTTCTATGTTCATGAGGGATATTGGTATGTAGTTTTGTTTTATTTTCTTGTAAAGTCTTTGGTTTTGGTATAAGGGTAAAGAGTTGGAAAGTGTTCCCTCTTCCTCTATTTTCTGCAAAAGGTTATATAGAATTGGTATTATTTCTTCCTTGAATGTGTGAGGGAATTTACCAATGGAGCTATCTGCGTCTGGAGTTTTGTGAAAAGTTTTTAAATTATGAGTGCAATTTAAATCGATATAGCTTTATTCATGTTTTCTATTATTTATTGAGTCAGTTTTGCTAATTGTATTTTTCAAGTATTTTATTCATTTCATCTAGGTTGTTGAATTTAGTGACATGAAGTTGTTCGTAATATTCTCTCATTCTTTTAATGTCTATACATTTTTTTCAAAATTGAAATAAGTCATTTATTTTACCAGTGGAAGCACTTATTTCAATATCAGAAAAATAATGCTATTTGTTTTCAGCATAAAATAACCTAAGGTAGAATAGACACATTGATTTTTTTAAATGGATTTCAAATAAATCCAATGTCTTCATAATGAAAACTTACAACATTCACCAGAATATAGTAGTGACATAAACCAGTGGCTGGCTTCCCACGGAAAGGGGAAATTGCATTGGCTTCCTTTCACTGGTTTTTGTTAAATACAATTTGTCCATTCTGTTTGGCTGGCCAATTTGACTGCAGCGTACTAAAACTCAGCTCGGTGCAGCATCAATCCACAGGCTTGACTTATGAAAACCGAGCCGTCTGTAGAATCCTTAATGATGCTCCTTCTTTCATTCCTGATATTAGTCATTTGTGTCTTCTCTTTTTTCTTTTTTTTCTTGATTAGTCTAGCTACAGACTTACCAATTTCTATGTTTCCCAAAAATCACCTTTGGCTTCCTTTATTTTCTCTATTGTTTTGTCTGTTTTCAATTTCATTGATTACAGTTCTTTGTTATTATTTCTTCCTTCTGTCTACTTTGGGTTTCATTTGCTCTTCTTTTTCTAGTCTGAACCCTTTTGAAATGATGTTTTCCGGCGTGGATAACGTAGGCTCGTGGACAGTTTTAAGGATCATTCTAATTCAGCCCTCTCACGTTAAGGTTGGGGAACTACTATTAACTGCTCCCACCTGCTCATAACACGCTTTCCAAAACCGCTGCTGGAGCACATGCCAGGTACAACGGATTGGGGAAAAGCGGGTGGTGAGTTTGTGCGAGGGTAAAGTAGGCTGTACTGTAGGGGCTGCCTATGTTCACCATCTTTGGAGCCACCTCCCAGGGAATTACCCAAATTATACAGGTATGCACGGTGCTGACAGCTAACTTTAGTTAACCTTAGATGACTATTAACTTCAGTCTTTCTGACTTAGGTTTATGCCTTTAACTGATAACTCTATTACTTGATTTTTTTAACCTTAGTCTTTCTGACTTCAGTCTATTTCTTTAACAGAATAAAATTTTAAGTTTCATATAACAACATATTCCCTAGAGAACTTTAATACCAAGCAAAGAGATGGCAATTTTCTTGCATCCAAACTACAATATTCATAATGTTTAAGTATAGTTATGCATAAATACTTTGCGGGAAAGAGTTGTTGCTGAAGACAAAGCATTAAAGTCAGTTTTATGAATAATACTCAAAACCTCTTCTCATTCTATTAGATGGTTAATCACTTTTCTCTGCCCCTCAAACAGCCTAAGCTTCAGCTATTGATGGCCACTCTCTGCTCCCCAATGGAGAATGAGATTTAAGAAAAGCCTTATGAAGATAGGAGTCAGAACTAGGCGAATTCTTTTAAAAATTCTGCATTTACAATTCTCTTTTTTAAAGAAATCCTCAAGGAGCATACCAAACTACTGAAATCAGAAAGACTATTTTTATCCTTGAAATTCTAACAGTATTAATTATGCATAGTTTATTACTGTATTAAATGGAGATGGAGTCTATTCCAAGAAAACACAATAAAACCTAAACCTAAACAAGCAAGTTAGGAGTTGACTATTCATATTTCAAAAGGATTCTTCAATATTAAAAGGATTCATTGCAGTTTTTTCACAGGCTATAATATATAATACCCCTGTGGTTTTAAAAATCATTTAAACATTTTAATTTACACATAATTTTTCAGGAACTCATCTATTGTAAGAAATGATGCCCAACTCTGCATGTGTATGGATAGTGCGGTAAACAAAGGGCTCATAAAAATTGCTCATAAATTATCTAATTAGCTGTGCCTATAAGAATGAATTTAAACATTGGTTACCATGCATAGAAAGCCACTAGAAAAAATTATCCTTGCATTACTTGCTTTTTATGATTATATGTAAATGCTCTACATTGCTTAGTTTCTAGCAAAAAGTAAGAACTTTTATTTTTTTGAGACAGAGTCTCACTCTGTTGCCTGGGCTAGAGTGCCATGGCATCAGCATAGCTCACAGCAACCTCAAACTCCTGGGCTCAAGAGATCCTCCTGCCTCAGCCTCCCAAGTAGCTGGGACTACAGGCATGCGCCACCATGCCCAGCTAATTTTTTCTATATTTTTATATGACAATTAATTTCTTTCTATTTTTAGTAGAGATGGGGCCTCGCTCTTGCTCAGGCTGGTTTCGAACTCCTGACTTTGAGCCTCCCAGAGTACTAGGATTACAGGCATGAGCCACCGTGCCCGGCCTAGAACTAAGAACTTTAATATGCCCATTAGGCCCTTCCCTAATGACTTGTTTATTAGAAAACATTTCCTTATAAATGACACAAAAATAAACTTCAGCTCACCTGATAGAGTCACAGACAATTTGAATTAGTAAAGCAAAATTTGAAGACCCAGAAATAACAAATACCGAATGTAGCCACAGAGTGCCCACGTCGGAACTGTCTGGTGTCTGAGTCAGAGATACAAAGACATGGACAGAGGAAGAAACTTCCAAGTCCTCGTCTCCTGGGTGGAGCTGTGGCCTGGGTGTGTCAGAGGAGGGTTCTAGATGAACATGGATACCTTGAAAATGGCTATCAAGCCTCAGAAAAGGAGAATTTTGAGATCACGTTGTATTTCTTTTGAACTAGCCCCACTTCCAGTTTGATATACTCTCAGTTCTAGAATTTGTAAAGAGCTTATGTTTGTAAGCTCGCTGCTTTGTGTTTGAAATCTACCTTAGGCTTGGTAACATGAAGTTCTTTCACCATTTGAATGTAGTGCTTCTTCCAGACCCCCTGCTCAAAAGGCGTCGGAGAGAAATCGATGCACCAGTTAAACCGTAAGCACTTGAGCATCCACAGCTGGTCCAGCTCTGCTAAGTTCTTCCAGTGCCAGCACACCTGCAAAAACAGTGACAGTCCAACAAAACCAAACAGCCTACTCAGTTTACATGCCTGCTTTCTCCAGGTTTTGAGCTGTCATCCTGGACCTGAGATAAGTTTTTTGTCCTTTTCCTCCAAATTACAGCTCTTAAATAGTTACCTCCTAACCTGAAGTACTTCCCTATCCATCCAAGCAGAAGGGTTTACTTTACATGCTAATTCAGACTCAGTCAACTGATATTTACTGAGCACCTATTAACCATCCTCATAGCAACCTAGGGAGGTCAGTGTAATTATTACTCTCATATTGCAAGTGAGGAAACTGAGACTCAGACCTGGAAACTTCCTAAAGGTTCCTGAAGGTCATATGAAAGTTATATGACGGTTATATAAACTCAGGTCTGCACACTGTTTCTTCTTTTCATGATGTGCTTCCTTTTTCCTCCATTCTTACAATTTCACTAAATGTACATTTTATAAATAGAACACAGTTACTGATACTCTATGGTATGTCTTATAGAGCCTTTAGGATTTCAAAAAGCATAAAGTATTTGTTCCATACATTCCATTTCCATAGCATTATGGCCAACCCCACACATCCAGCCAATTGTGGAGGTGGCCCTACGCTGTGCAGCAATAGTTACAATAATTCACCCAAGGTTTTGAATAAGTCTTGAGGAAACTAGGATCAAGTTCATACATAAAATTGAGACTAGAGATTCTGTGTCTTAGTTGTAAGATTTGCAAAGATGACATATAACCTTCAAGCTCAAATTTCATCCTTGGAAAACTGGCCTCCTTTTCAAAATTAATTACATAACTAATAACTTTTGAGTTGCCCCTCCCCCAAAAGAAAACTGCCTTGTAATGGCCCTTGCTATCCACACACCCATTTTTCTACCCCTCTTTTCCTTCCTTCTCCCACCCACCATCTATTGAGTTCCTACTGTTAGTGTTGTTTCATGTGCTGAAGACAGTAAGCAGAGAGTGGGGCACAATTAGAAGAAATGAAAGATTCAGGAGCTGGAAGGAAGAACAAAGTTAGAGGATCTGACGATAGAGCCCTGTAGGCAGGAACAGAAACCACATCTAGTTTGTTCAGCCCAAAAATGAAACAACAGCCATCTTAATCTCCATATGGTAAATTAACTCAGAATTCGATGGAGAGATGGGGGATTTTCAGGGAGGGAATGGGGAGAAAATTCTCTCCCTTCTCACTCTTTTCCTCCTCTTCCTTAGATTTTATTTTGACCTAGATACTTAAATTTGTTTTTTCCCCAAGGCAGATAAGATATTTTTGTTTTATTTTTGTGTTTTTGTTTTGTTTCTTTTTTTTCTGAGACAAGGTCTCACTCTGTTTTACCCAGGCTGGTGTGCAGTGGCGTCATCATAGCTCACTGCAGCCTCCAACTCCTGGGCTCCAATGATCCTCCTGCCTCAGCCTCCCAAGTGGCTGGGACTACAGGTGTGTACCATTACACCCAGCTAATTTTTCTATTTTTTGTAGAGATGGGGTCTCGCTCTTGCTTAGGCTGGTGTCAGACTCTTGGCATCAAGCGATCCTCCCTCCTTGGCCTCCTAAAGTGACAGGATTAGAGACGTGAGCCATTGTGCCTGGGATTATAGGAGCTTTTTTTAAAAAATAAAGAAATTAGCCCTTCGTTTGCAATAGGCTTCTGGGTATTATAGAATACTCACAAAGTCCTCCTTTCCTATGTTTTCTTTGAGTACTTTAATGGTTTTCTTTGGTTTCATATAAATCTCTTTATTCTACTGGAATTTTTTTCCCCAGATAGGTGCCCAATTGTCCCAACACCATTTATGGAACAATTCATCTTTCTTGCTGCATTCATTTTCTTAATTTTAAAAACTAAAGTTAACATCTTACACATATGTGAATGCATGGTATTAATGGCAAGTAATTTTCGGTCTTGCTAGATTCTAGGAAAAGACTCAACAAAATGACTTTATTTAAGTTATTTTTAAGTTTTACATCTTAAATATTTTTACTTCACTTTAATAATGCCACGGAATTACTTGTAAGAAAATAACAACTCCTTTTCCAAGGCCTCTGTGAGCATCCCTGCCTACCTGGGTCTCTTTTAGTCTCGTGCTCTTTTGTACCTATCCCATTAGTAGCTTACTGTGAGCTTTTTTTCTATTCTAGTGGATTACTTGCACTACACACTAGGCTTCTCTTGTAGTTGTACGCTGTGCAGTAAGAGACTGTCCTGCTGATGGGCCATTTCTTACATGTGTGTCTCCCCAACTAGCCAATACATTTTTGTGGACACTGATATGTCTCATACATTTTCTCCCCTTTTGAGCACTAAATACAGACTTAAGCACAAAGGAGGTGGGGTTCATTCGGACTACCCAGACTGGACATGTGGACCATCTCACCTGTTTCTTGGTTTTGTGTGTGCGTGTGTGTGTTTTCTTAAATTGTTCAAGGTCCAGAGTTTTCTAAGGCAGCCCTTACAAAACACCACGTGCCACTTCTTTGCCTTTACCTGTGCACAACGACAAAGGCTTCGGGGATCCAAGAAAGAAAAGATGTATAAAGATAACACCCTTGGAAGCTTGGTAGTAAAATCCAGGGCTTCTGCTGGAATTTTTTCCTGAAGCTTTCGACAGCAGAACTTCTGCTGTGACAGGGAGCAGCGCTCCAACAGGCCCGTGAGGATTCTTCTCCTTTGAGAGTCTGTCCATTTGTCAAACTGGAAAAATAAACAAAACAGTAAAAGCTCCAGGCCTAGTCTGATGGCAGATACTCATTATGAGTAAGAGATAAGGACGGCATAGAAAGTGAGTTTAGAAATTTATTTCTAATGCAAATCAAGTATTTCTTTCCTTAATCAGTAAATTCCATGTTTTGCCACCTATCTGCCCTCCCTACATTTATGTGTAAGTGTGTGCATGACCTGCGTGTGCACACGGAAGTGCATTTGACTCGAAACTTGCAGTTATATAAGAGTGGTAAGTTGGGAGCTGATCAAATTCATAAACTGAGAAAATACCTACTTATAAAATACAATTTCAAGAGAAAACACCTGGGCAACTTCTCTCCCTCCAAGTATAAAAGTTTCTACATGATTTCATCAGTGCTTAGAACTCCAGGATCAGAAACAAACCCCTGCATTCACAATTGGAGATAAAGTGTAACATGCAAATATCCCTGAGAAGGAAAGTATATTGGGTTAGATTCTTACTAGTATGTAAATGACTGATATGATTGGAGAGGAAGTGTTGATAAGGGAGGACCTGGAGAGAGGAAGTAATGCCAACAGAAGCCAGGTATGTCCAACAAAAGCTTTGGCTACTTCATAATTTTCACCAAAGATTACCCTAATAAACCAGTCCCAACATCGGGGATTGACCAAAGATGAGAACCTTGGGATTGGCCAAAACCCAAAAAAGGCTCTTACTAGAAGAATGCCTATTATTAAATATTGATAGCTGAGTTAGTCACTTCATCAGAAGTCTAAATCTCTCTTTTCTTCCCTAGCCCATTAGGGAAGAGAAAATAGGGAAGCTTGGGCTAGTTATATTTTTGCATATTATTGCATTTCACATATAGGTATTTAGTACAGTTATTATAAAGTAATCAGAATTTTATAATGACTTAGTTGTAATCATAAAATATACTGATTACCTATAAATGCATGTCAAGCCAAAATTTAACTCTTCCAAGCCTTACGACAAGTTAACTTCATTATAGTCATACAATGTATTTTTTTAATTAGTAATATTAAAACACAAAATATCGACAAATTGAGTTGAAAAATCTGATCGGCTTTTCTTAGCGATTCATGACTTGGTAGAGTATCATCTAAAGAGCAGATGAGCAGAGGAGCTTGGCTTTGTAGGCAGAAAATGGCTGAGGAAAGCAGAAATAAGGAAAAAAGGGGATTGGTCGTTTCAAAGTTCCTTTCCTTGTAAGGTTAAAACAGAAGGGATTTTCTTTTTTTTTTTAATAATATATTTCTATCTTTTTTTTTTTTTTGGTTAATTACAACATTGTCTGATTGAGAGGGGATTTTCTTATCATGCTATTAACAGCGCAGGTAAACTGGGACCCTTCTGATTGGTTGCTGTGAAGCTCCTAGGTTTTGTTTCTTTGTTGTTTTTTTTTTAAAAAAACTGTGTTAAACGTCAAACTGGCCAGTTTGATCACGGGAGTCCCTCCTGTCTGGTTTGGAGTGGTCTACGGAAGGCCTAGTGCAGAAGCTCAATACCAGACGACGGATTCCAAATAAATTTTGTTTAACAGTAGGACCACTTCCTGATTAAAACTATTCACTATTATAGATTTATTCAGTGACCCACAAATCGCACTCTGGAGACTATCATTCAAGGGGGAGGGGACCCTAAAAATGAAAGAACAAAAACCTTACACCACAGGAATGAAACTGATTCACGTGTGAGTGTTCCCTGACTTCTATCCCTGTCTCTGTACAACCCCTATCTCCAACCCCCACAAAAGGAGACTTCTGTCCACGACCTGGCTGGGGCCAGGGGAACTGGCCCTGGAAGCTGAGTTGATCTAGAAAATAAAGAGCCAAAAGGGAGGTGCGAGGCGATAGAAGAACAGGCGAGAGGCTTTGACTTGCTGGGAGTTTCGGGGTTCACAGAGGTGGCGATGCCTCCGCAGCAGTCCGTGTGGGGGGAACGAAGGGGGCAGATTTGAGGAGTATTGCTGTGAGTTTTAAACCGGATCTCCTGCCGATTTTTCTTTAAGAGAAAAAATGAAGACTGGAATTCATTTTTAAATTACTTTAAATTACTATGCGAGTCTGTAGAGACTACATGGGGACCCAGGATGATGTTGGTTACAAAATATTTTCGTGAGATATTATCACCGCCACAAATCAGAGATAATGCCAAATGCCCAAGAGCAGCAGACGAGCTATGCAAACTATAATGTAGCAACATGATGGCAGAAAGTGTAGTATTACGGATTGATGTGGGGCTTGGGAATCAGACAATTTGTTGTCTCATTCCCAAGATTCCAGTTTTTTCTTTTACTCATTAGAAATATTGCAGCCTGAATTTTTTTCATTTCTACATTAAGAATATCATTATTTCTACATGGTAGAGTGGTTGCGAGGGTTAAATACAAAATATATGTATACAATTCCTAATAGAGTGCATGACTCATTGTAGACCTGGCAGCTATTATTATAAAATGCCATAGCGATGTTAACAATAACATGTATGTGGGTTAAACCAATATGAAAAAGATATGCGCATAAAATTACCATGTTTGTACATTTTCAAGGATGGGAAGTTCATTTAGAATAGGCAAGGTCAGCTCATCTATTTTCCTGATGCCCACAAAAGGGAACGGGCTCAGGTTACAGAACGAGTGATTTAATGAATATAAAAGAACATTAGGATTATAAAATACCAAAGAAATCTATAAAAGAAAGCATTAAAACACTTTCTCTAGAGATTAAAAAGATAATTACATTGGTTTCTCATTTATTTCCCGGAGTACTGACGGTCAAGGGTAATTTATATTTGGCTTTGATAGGTGTTCTTTGCCACGAGGGATTTTTCCTTTCTAATTGTGTTTGTTTAGGCTAATAGAAAACTAATTTACATTCTTTGAACTCCTAACAATGGAAGAAGGTGGGAAGATTACTCAGAAGAATGCATAACAGTAGGGGAAAATCCCTTAGGAATTTAGGAGGTGCTAGGAATAATCCGAAAAGTAGATAATCCATGGAAGAGATCACTGCACAGGAATCTGATTATCTCCCACATCTCTTGCCTCATCTCTGGAGTAGAAATACTCATAACACAGTAGCCAGAGAATCCGTGTGTGCCATTGGGGAGCAGAAAGGGCCTTTACGCTCCTGTTCCAGTATCACATGTGGTATGAGACTTCACAGTTCGCTCTTGAAGGATGCCTTTTTTTATAGGGCTTCCTTGACTCACATTAACCCTATTTTTACAGTAGTTGTTACAAGGATTCTTGCTGCAGTACCAGAGCTGCCAGCCTGAATGGATCTATAAAATAAAAAGCCACCCATTTCACACTGAATGGCAAGAAGAGGGTCCCAGGGAAATTGGGAAGGGGGAGGATGAAGAGAGAAGCTTGTTTTTGTTTATTTGTTTATTGGTTATGTTTATTGGTTATTTTAATCTGGTTGAGTTTCTGAGTCCTATTATCAAAAATTTAATTTCATAATTAAAGTATGAATGCATTCTCGTTTTAAAAGTTTCACACAGGTACATATAAACATGAAAATCCTCTTTGACCACTACTCCCCATCAAATTTCTCTCCATTCCCCAGAGATAACCAGTATTCAAAAGTTTGGTGTTCATAAATTTGTTTTTTTAATTTTAATTTTAGAGACGGGGTCTTGCTATGTTGCCCAGGCTCGTCTCAAACTCCTGGGCTCAAGTGATCCTCCCGCCTCAGCCTCCCAAAGTGCTGGGATTGCAGGAATAAGCCACCTCGCTCAGCCCATTTTAACCATTTTTTTAAAGTGTGCAGTTCATTATCATTATTGTCCAACCATCACCACTATCAATCTCCAGAACTTTTTCATCATTCCAGAATGAAACTCTGTACATTAGACAATAACTCCCCATGCCTTAGTAGTTGCTTTTCTACTCTGTTCTATGGATTTGCCTATTCTAGGTACTTCATGTAAGTAGATTCATACAATATTGGTCCTTTTGTGTCTGGCTTATTTCACTTGGCACAACAACTTCAAAGGTCATCCATGTTGTAGCATGTGTTAGAATTTCCTTCCTTTTATGGCTGAATAATATTCCATCATATAGATAGACCACATTTTGTTTATTCACTCAGCCACTGATAGACATTTGGATTTTTTACACCTTTTGACTATTAACAAATAATGCTGCTCTGAACACTGTGTGCAAGTTTTTGCATGACCATATGTCTTCAATTCTCTTGGGCAGTAGAGAATGTCTGGGTGGTATTGGAAAGGGATTTGCAAGTAATACACATTGCCTAGACATGGATACTTTGATCGTCTCTCAGGGATGGGCAAGGGCCACTGGGACTCTGTGTCCCCCCTTGTGAGGAGCAGGTGAGGAAGTCCTTGTTTGTGATGAAGGATGATAGTTGTATCTTGGTAGGTAAATGCACAAAGTTGTCACAGTTCTCATATGGATGTCTCAGGATAGGTGGAGGGGGTATATGGACTCGGGGTAGCCAGCAGATGAACTGCTGGTTACTACGCTATTGTCTCTCAGACGCAAACCCAGCTTCCCGTACTCTACTTTGTGAGCATAGGAGGCCAGGACTCTACAGCCACGCGAGCTTGGACACTTGGCGCCCTGGTGAATGCTGCGGACGCCAGTGAGCACGCGGGAGAAACAGAGGGCGAAGAGACGCGCTCCTCTCTGTTTTGCTTCCCGTTGCTGCTGTCGGGATCGCCTGACTCTTCGCCCTGACGGCAGCAGTTGATCCCAGCTTTTGTGCACACACCCAGAACCATCACGCTTCCTCAGACAGGTCAGAACCAGCTGTGACGTCATGCACTGTATTCCACAGAAGTCTGGGTCCCCTGTGGGGCTAGCGGCCTTCCCTCTGAGCTCCTAGGCTCCGTAAGGCTCGTGGTAGCTCACGCCTGCAGTTCTGTCTCCGGGGGACCTCAGCATTTCCTTTTTGTCTTTCCCGTTCTCCAACATTCGTTTGACCAATCCTTTCCATTAAGTTATGTCTGTTAAAATAACATCTGATTTCTCCCGTCCAAGTACTAACCAGGCCCGACCCTGCTTGGCTTCCGAGATCAGATGAGATGGGGCGCGTTCAGGGTGGTGTGGCTGTACACAAGATAATGTCCGATTTCTGTTTTCCTAGCCAAACCCTAACTGACACATGTAGAAAGTACCAGTCATGCTTCCCAGGAAATGAGCAAGCCCTTCTATGAGCCATGCTGAGTCCTCGGGGCTCTGTGACACTGCTGCAGACTGAAATCTCGTGTCCCCCCAAATTCATATGCTGACATCCTGACCCCCAGTGCAATGGGGCTGGGAGCTGGGGCCTTTGGGAGGTGATTAGGACATAGGAGCAGAGCCCTCATCAACGGGATGAGCGCTCTTCTAAAGGAGCCCCCAGTTCCCTCTTCTGCCACGTGAGGACACAGAGGCTGCCTAGGAAGAGGCCCTCACCAGACTCCGAGTCTGCCAAGCCTTGATCTTGGACTTCCCAGCCTCCAGGACCGTGAGCAATAAATGTCTGTTGTTTATAAGCCACCCAGTCTGTGGTCAGTAGCCTGAACAGACAAAAACATATAACAACATAATACGGAAATAGGTATATTTTAAATATTTACCCATTTTCCAAGCAGGGCTCTTCTTTCTTCAAATACCTACAAAAAGGAAAAAAGAAAAAAATAGAATGATTTCATATATCATGGTTCAAAATACTCATTACAAAAAAGATATCATCAAGGGACCAGTGGATAAATACTCCATTATATCAACTGAATATAAAAAGGCCCACGTCTATAATCCTAGCACTCTGGGAGGCCGAAGCAGGCGGATCGCTCGAGGTCAGGAGTTCGAAACCAGCCTGAGCAAGAGCGAGACCCCGTCTCTACTATAAATAGAAAGAAATTAATTGGCCAACTAATATATATAGAAAAAATTAGCCAGGCATGGTGGCACATGCCTGTAGTCCCAGCTGCTCGGAGGCTGAGGCAGGAGGATCGCTTGAGCCCAGGAGTTTGAGGTTGCTGTGAGCTAGCCTGACACCACGGCACTCACTCTAGCCTGGGCAACAAAGCGAGACTCTGTCTCAAAAAAAAAAAAAGACAAATTTTACTCCTGAGAGGAGTAAAAATACACAAAGTACTTTGCATATTTTTAACCTAGGAAAGGTTTTTTCTCTCTTTTTTTTCTTTCAGTTTTTTTCTTTCTTTTTCTGAGACCGAGTCTCACTCTGTTGCCCAGGCTAGAGTGTCATGGCATCAGTATGGCTCACAGCAACCTCAAACTCCTTGGGCTCAAGCAATCTTCCTGCCTCAGCCTCCCAGAGTGCTAGGATTACAGGTGTGAGCCACCGTGCCCGGCCTTCTTTCAGTTTCTTTCTCCACGTGGAATAGCTCATATATAAAAAAAGAAGTAATATTAGTAGTTTTTTAAAAGAAAAGAAATGTTCTTGAGCTTCAGGGAGGTAAAAAATAAAAAATAGAAAAATGGAATTGTAAAGAGAAATCGATTTTAGAATTTTAAAGGAGATGAAAAAACTTAACAACAAAAATAAACAGGATCCCATATGGTCTAGCGGTAAAAAAAAAAAATAAATAAATAAATAAAAAAATAAACAGGAACATGGAACTCCCTCCTCTGAAATTCTATATTAATGATATGAGAATTTACACAATTTGTGAATGAGCAGCTCTGTTTTTATATTTCAGTGTGTACACATATCAGTGAGTGTACATGTATTCGTATATTTGTAGGGTTGGATATTTGTTTATGTGTACCTCTGGGCTTGCAACCGAGTGTCTATCTGCACAGGTTTATTATTGTATACTGTTTAGGACAGACACTACGTCTCATTCGTCCTGACATCGCCAGTGCAGAGTGCTCCACACAGCATGTTGCAGGTGCCCATGCTTGTTGAATTGAATGGCTGTGATTGGGAAAATGTATATCCTTATGGATGTATCAGTACAATGTGAGTATATTTATATATTGGTGTCTAGGTGGTTTTCTGAGCATCAGTGCATATGGCATTGGAGTGAGTAAGGAAGGGAAGACTAATGTGGGTATGTTTGGCAGGAGAAGGGCTTCTGAAGAGAGGAAGAGAGAGAGTAATGAACATATGTGAATGTCTCTCTCGAAACAACGCATACACCCTCTGTCAGCTTTCAAAATTGGGATCGATGTTTTTCCCTTCCACTTGGCACTCCCTAAATTCTGCAGCACTGTAAGAATGTTCCTGCTTGGAGAGGTGGCGCAGGCCTATTTCTTCTCTTTTTGTGGAGGAGGATGAGGCGCTGGTTTTATGCTTCCAACAGATAATGCTTTCCTTCCTTTTTTAGACTCTCAAGCTCTGGTTGCCAAGGACATTCAGAATGGGAATTGAAATAATTGGTACAACAACCACCTTGGGACCAGAGAAATGTCAATTTTGCTCTCGGCCAGGGACTCTCACAGGTAGATACCTTTTGTACATTAAAGAAGAAAAAGAAGGGTGGGGCGAGGTGGCTCACACCTGTAATCCTAGCACTCTGGGAGCACGAGGTGGGAGGATTACTTGAGGTCAAGAGTTCTAGACCAGCCTGAGCAATAGCAAGACCCTTGTCTCTACTCAAAATAGAAAGAAATTAGCCAGGGAACTAAAAATAGAAAAAATTAGCCGGGCATGGTGGCGCATGCCTGTAGTCCCAGCTACTCAGGAAGCTGAAGCAAGAGGATTGCTTGAGCCCAGGAGTTTGAGGTTACTGTGAGCTAGGCTGACGCCACAGCACTCATTCTAGCCTGGGCAACAGAGTGAGACTCTGTCTCAAAAACAAAAAGAATTTTTTTCCCTAATTAATGTCCACCTGGGCTGCTAGGACCCTCAAATAACGGCAACAGATAAACTCAGAATCTCTAGATGAAAACAGAAAAGAACCCATAGAGCACAGAAGATTCAAAAAAATTTGGACATGTATTTCCTGACATCTTCTCCTCTATCAATCACCTGTCACTCAACCTAGGTCACTTCTGATGCACAGTGATCTCTCCCCTCCCAACTCCTACTCCATTTATAGTTCATGCTTCACTTAGACTTTATAGTGTTAGCTTTTGCTCTCTAGTGGTTTCTGCTAATTCTACCATCCCATGTAGATTACAACCATCTTCTGGTGCATGCTCCACAGAACCAGCCCAGCAAGTTCAGGTTCCATGGCAGACCCTCGATAAACCATTTTGCTGATTGAGTAACAATAAGAAAGCCTCAACAGTCATATAGAATTTTAGAGCTAAGAGAAATCCTAAAGATCTTTTAGTTCAATTCCCACCTGCACTTGAATGTTCATAGCAGCACAATTCACAATTGCAAAGATGTGGAAACAACCCAAGTGCCATCAATACCTGAGTGAATTAATAAAATGTGGTATATGTATCCCATAGAGTACTACTCAGCTATACGAAACAATGATACAAGATAACAATAATACAAGATATAGCACCTCTTGTATATTCCTGCCTAGAGCTGGAACCCATTCTACTAAGTGAACTATCCCAAGAATGGAAAAACAAGCACCACGTGTACTCACCAGCAAATTGGTATTAACGGATCAACACCTAAGTGGACATATAGGAATAACATTTATCGGGTGTCGGGCAGGTGGGGGAGAGGAGGGGATGGGTGTATACATACATAATGAGTGCGATGAGCACCAACTGGGGGATGGACATGCTTGAAGCTCTGACTCGAGGGAGGGGCAAGGGCAATATACATAACCTTAACATTTGTACCCCCATAATACACTAAAATAAAAAAGATCTTTTAGTTCAATTCCCATATTTTAGACAGGACAAGCAGAGTCTCAAAGAGGTTACAATGATAGATTTTTTTTTTAAATCACTGAGTCCAGATTCCCTGTTCTGAGTCCAGACTCCCTCTCTGCACTCGGTGCCTCACTAGGACCTGGGTGTTCCCCATCCAGCCCCGTGCTCCTGACCAGCGGCTGCCCATGCTGTGGCCGACGGCAGGAAGAAGAGGACACGTCCTGATACCACAGCCAAGCTTCCAAAAGCAGCAGGCTGGGACGCCATGGTGCCCAGCGGTGGTGTGGCCCCTTGGAGACAAAGGGACATGGACTCAAATGCGAGAGGACAGTCAACAAGAAGGCAGCAGGGCAGGAATGGGGGAGGTGGGAGCATTACTCGGACAACATTCAGCAAAAGTCTAAGCAGGGTCCAAGCAAGTCGGCTCTTTGACCGGCCCAGCCCAGAGCCTTGCAAAAATGGATGGGAGAAAAGGGGAGCAGCTGGAAGTCAGCAGCCCCCGCGCGCATCTGGTTCTGACTCGACCCTTGGCAAGAAATAGGATTTTGGGCAAATGATTTCATGGTCAAGTCCTCAGTTGGATTTATGGTCTTATATTCCCCAGTCTGGAGCAAGTCTGCATTCCAAAGATTTGCAATCAGGCCCTTCATTTTAAAGAGCTGGAAAACAAAATCTCTTTTCAAAATGGAAACATTAAAAGGGATCTTCTTTTCTCGAAGACTGCTGCAGTTTGTTTACATCACAGTTTACTCAGAGCCTGCTGTTAAGTCAGAATCCATGGTTGTTATTTTAGTCTGTTGACACTGCAGTTACATATTTCATTATGTGACACCATTACACTGTAGAAGGGAGATATTTAGGGCTCCTAAAAACTGATTAATTGATGGTAACTAGGTGCTTTTTCTCAGGACATTTTTTTTTTTTTTAGAGGCGAGGGTCTTACTCTGTTGCCCTAGCTGGAATGCAGTGGAGCAATCATAGCTCACTGCAGCCTCGAACTCTTGGGCTAAATCAATCCTCCTGCCTCAGCCTCCCAAGTAGCTGGGACCATAGGTGCGTGCCACTACATCTGGCTAATTAAAAACATTTTTTTTATAGAGATGTGGTCTCGTTGTGTTGCTCAGGCTGGTGTTGAACTCCTGGCCTCAAGTGACCCTCACACCTCGGCCTCCCAAAGCTCTGGGATTACAAATGTGAGACACAACATCCGGCTCTCAGAACACTCTTAACATGTACAGTACCACCTGTGTGAACCACACTCTAAGAGAAATGTGGATCATTTTCTTTTCTTTCAAAAAATTATATATATTTGAGGTGTATAACATGCTTTGATATACACATATACAGTGAGATGATTATTATAATTATGCAAATTATCCTATCCATCACCTCCCATAGTCACTTTGGTGTGTGTGTGTGTGTGTGAGAGAGAGATAAGGATCACTTTCAGTTAAAACACTAGATGCAAAGACTTTTAAAATATTCCTCCCCTCAGAATTCACAATGCCTGAATCATTTTGTACTCTGTTCCATAGGCCTACATATCCCTGATGATGCTATTTTTTTAGGCATCCAAATTTGAGTTCAAACTCTCTGCTTAAAGCCTGCTGTGAAGTGAAAATTCTGTGACTCTAATTTTAGTCTGGGATAATTACATATATCACATTTTACTACAGAACAGAAAAAAGACAAAATTAATACAGAAACAAAAAACAGGACCTCAAAATTGCTCTGATCATTGGTGACAGGTACCGTGATTTTGAAGTATAGGAAACCCCTTGAAATTCTTGTAGCACGCCTTTTGGCCAGCTGCACCCTCCTTGGGCATGTATTTTAAATTCTTTTCACATGGTCAAAATGTTAGATCTGGAAGAGACCTTCGAGGTCATCTGATCCAACCCACTCATTTTACAAAGGAGGATAAGGCCCTGGGAAGGTAAGGCCAGGAGATCATGCCACTCAGGCATGCAGGAAATCACTGGGAGAGGCTGGTCTGCACCCAGAGTTTTCAATTCCCAGAGTTACTGTTCTTTGTTTGCGTTTATTTATATTTGTCTTTAAAACTGAAACATTACTGCCCCCTATGAAGTAAGAAATCGAAAGCTCTCTCTTTTGACACATCCCCCTCTGGCCACCCATGCCCAGCTCACTCTTTGGGGGAAACCAGTATCAATAGCTTGGTATAATCATATACACATTCGAAGTGTGTGTATATATCCACACAAAAATTTTAAGACATAATTTTACTCCAAACAAGAACCTGACTAAACCAACAAATGGTTTTTGGGGGGCAGAATAAAATGGGAGTTCTGAATAATAAAATAAATACTATCTGTAGAAATGATCATTACATTTGATAAAAATCTATTAAAGAACCACAGTAAGACAATGTCATGCTTGCTGCGATGCACTGATTCCCCTCTAGGACGGAAGGCTGTGATCCCTCACCTGTCGGAGGCTGCTGGTTGACAGCCACAAGCCTGAGAGAGCTGCCTTGCCCGAGGTCAGGCTGGGGGCAGGGGAGCTGGCGCCCACTGAAAGATCAGTGTGCAGGTGTCAAGGTGGCACCCCCTTGCTGCAGGGTAGGGCAACATTGCAGGATCGTGCCAGCTTCAGGGTGTCGCATGGGGTCAGTGAAGGAGACCTCGTTGAGACTGCGTTCCAGCTCGCCTTCTTCCTCTGCCCCACACCTACGCCTTGCCTCTTCTCCCCTACACTCCTCTCCCCTCCCCTCTGCTCCCCTTCCCTTCCCCTGAAGAACCTGACAGCACTCCCTAATCACTGCCCTACATACTGATCTTAAAATCTGCTTCTCTAGCAACCCAACATGCAACAGGCACTCTGGCAAATTTTGGTTATTAAGACACTTTTCTCTACACAGCTGCTAAATTGATCAAGACTCCGAGCTTTTCAAAGAAAATGCCTGAAAATCAAGGAATCCAACAAATGCGTATTTGAATTCAAGTCACTTTTTTACATGTGTGCAAAACCTTCACAATTCTGTGGGGAAACATATTTCAAAACTAAACACTGAAGTTTAGGGGGAGAAAGCAGATAAGCTGTTATGTAAACTGTTGGAGAGCTAGGAGCACTGTAAACAGTGCTTAATAAATAATTGTTGAGCTGAATAAAAAAGGTTTTCAGTAGACTTGTTTGGTGTTCATGGCTGGATTGCTCTCTCTTTCCTTGCCTTTTTTTTTTTTTTTTTTTGGAGACAGAGTCTTGCTCATCGCCTGGGGGCTAGAGTGCTGTGTTGTCAGCCTAGCTCACTGTAAACTCAAACTCCTGGGCTCCAGCAATCCGCCTGCCTCAGCCTCCAAAGTAGGTGGGACTATAGGCGCGTGCCACCACGCCTGGCTATTTTTTCTATTTTTGTAGAGATAGGGTCTGGCTATGTTGCTCAGGCTGGTCTTGAACTTCTGACCTCAAGCGATCCTTCTGCTTCAGCCTCCCAGCATGCTAGGATTACGGGTGTGAGCCACTGTGCCCTGCCTCCCTGCCTTTAGTTTTGTTTCTTCTGGTCTCTTCTTTTGATTCTCTTCTGTCTCCTCTTTCCTCATTTCCTTTATCTTTTTCCTTTTTATTATACTCTCTCTCCATTTTACTTCTCACTATTCCAATCCTTACCCTGGCTCTTCTGTCTCTCTCCTAAAATTGCTCACGTTTCATATCAGAGGACCAGACACAGAAAGCACCACCAGGGCCGGAGGGGACAGGTTTGGTGACCCAGCTCAGCTAGAGGGATCAGCACACCCGTCAGGTTCAGAGAAACAGAGGGGCAGATCTGGGCTCAGGAGGAGAGAGGAAGGGGAGAGAGGGCGAGAGTGAAGGGAGGAGGTGCCAGGGAGCAGAGCTGAACTGGGACTCTGTTTCTTGTGCTTCAGGAACCATATAAGGCGCTGGAAATACACAGAGAAAAGATAGAATCGCAACTATTAAACACAGTAGAGTTGAGTGGCAAAGTCAGTCAACGGTGACCAGGGAGCAGGGAGCAGGGAGCAGGGGCAGCCTCACAGCGGAGCGGAGCGAGCATTTGAGCGCTCTGACGGGGGCCAGGCGAGTGACTGCAAACACACTGAGGTGCGGGTGGCCAGGCTGCCCCTGTGACCGGAGCTGGGCTGGATAGCAGGGGCAAGGAGGCAGCGGCAGGGGTGGGACCTGGGAGGCTGGCTGTGGTCAGGTCATGACGGCCCTTGATGCTCTGCGTGGGCAGCTGGAATCCACCCTTGCAGGTGGGGCCCATGTCAGTTTCACATGTTAGGACTGGTACATTTTTTAATAGATCATTCTGGGGCCAGAATGGAGGGTGGGTCGGTAGCGACAGAGGCAGTGAAACCAGTTAGGGGGTCACACCGCAGTGTGCCGGCAGAGGGTGGCGAGGGTGTGAACTGAGATTGTGGGACCACCCTCTCCTCTCTCAGTCCTGGTGGTTGTACAGGAGAACCAGTGATGGAAGAAGAAAGGCACCTGGGTGAGAAAGGAGGAGTGACAGTGGAGGAAGGAACACGTCTAAGACATTTTCTTCTTGGGTAGGGACTCTTGTCTATTGCCAGCCTTGTGCATATAGCAAGGGCACAATAAAAATATTTGAACATATCCTTCATTTTTTTTCATCCATTACACAATCCTAAACAATTCCTGTTCATATTTAGGTAGCCAGATTTTTAATACATTTTTTTTCTGTAAGTCATGGGTCCAATTGATCAAACAGCTCTGGCCACTTACCTGGTTATTCAAAAGCTGATGGTTTAGGGGTGTCCAGGTACTCATCTTTGTCTGCATTTTGGGGCCATTTATGCTTTTTGGAGGTGCAAATGCCATCCTGAAATAAGTGGCTCTTCTTCCGTAAGAAAGATTATACCTATCAAAAGAAATGAATCATATAATCCTCAGAATACTAAAAATACTAATACTGTATAATTTTTTAGCATGTTAGGAGAGAGACTAGGTGGGAAGAGCATTTATTGGAGCATCTTACATGTCAAGCACTTTACATGCATGCTCAAGGAAGCTCACAATGATCTGGTGAGGTGGTGGCTTTCAGCTCATTTTTCAGATGATGAAGAGAATGAAGCTCATTGAAGTCACCTTGTGTCCAAGGTCACACACCTCTCAGTGGGACTGGGAGTCAGATCTAGAACAGTTTAACTCTAATTTATTTTCACTAGACCATAGAAGTAAACCCAGAATCACTCCTAGCTAATAACATGCCATATGGCCGGAAAGAGTATTTTAAATTTAAAATCACAGTGCAATATAAAACACTTCATTCTTGTTCCTTGTGATATTAACCCTCCTCTTCCCCTCTTAACTTTCTGACATCTCAGTAACAAGAATTCCAGCCTGCGTCCATATTTAAGAAGTAGAATGGGTGTCATGGACAAAGCCAAGTTTGGAGATGGACAGATTTGAGTTTATTCAGGGAAATTTGCTGTTTTTAGTTACCCAGTATATGGTCTGCCTCCTGTTGATTAAAGCACTTTAATTTTCATGAGGAATTCTTTTCCCTCATTGTTGAGAGCCTGCTGGGCTGGTTAATCAAGGTGGCCTGTCCTTCCTTAGCCAAGAGATGGTCATAAAATCAAGTTAGGCCAGTTAGATTGGCAATGGCCTATCCTGATTTTACAGATGCTGGGAACATTCAAAGTGGTGCCCCCAGAAGACTGTTAAGTTGTTCCCATTACTTCACCCCCCAGAAGCCCCATGTCCTTTCTTGTCCATTTTGTGAGTCTCCCGATATCCTTGCAATAAATTGCCTGTTTTGCTTATGTTAGCTAGAATCTATTTCTGTTGTTTGCAAACAATTGTTTTTGTTGTTTACCTTGCACAGGCTTAATCTTGGCTCTAACACTTACTAGCTGTGCAACTTTTTGCCAGTTATTTAATCTGTCTGAGTCTCAGTTTCCTTATTTGTAAAATAAGGATGTTATCTATCTACCCCCAACTGCTCTTGCAAAGATTAGAGAAGGGTCTGGCAGAGGGCCCGGCAGAGAGGTGGCCTGGATAAGTACTGTCTTCCTTGGCAGCCTTTCTTAGAACTTGGCATTTACACAGTGTCTGCAAACCTGTCCTTTGGAAGACTGTGACAAAATATTTCAAAGTAGAAAACATTTAAAGCACATTGAAAGTACTTTTAATATATATCCTCAGTGTTTCTAGATGCTTCTGCCTGTCCTCTTTTCTGAAGGTGGGTTTCCCATAGGTAGTAATGATGGCTGAGGGGGACCAGGGCCTGCCTGCCTGACCTATGGGCTCCGAAAATGACCCTACATCAGCAAATATTGGACAATTTTTAAAAATCATGATTATTTTGGCTGATATAGGATTTCCCCAAATGCTATATCTGAAATCTCTGAGATTCTCACATGACCTTCTCTCTCAGGTCTAAGTTATGATGGAAGATAAAGCCAATGTTTTAAACCTTCCCAAGTGTCAAGACAGTGCCTTCCTGCAACTACCTGCTGCCACTAGAATGGAGGTGTTCAGAGCAGCCCTCAGGTTGATTCTCAGCCCCTAACAGCTAATTATCTGAGTCACCACAGGTTTAGGTAAGTTACAAAGGCAAAAGAAATTATTTCATTACAGTATTATTCATTGGCAGCTAGTGATAAAAGTTCCTGTGAGCAGGCCACTTATAGACACAGAGCATGGCCACTGAGTCTAGATCTGCCCAGTGAAAAATTATACATTTCTTTTTGTTGTTACTTATTTATGTTCTACATTTCTTCTCCTTAAACTAGTTCTTTTTAATCCTTTTTTGAGAGTCATAAAGATCTTTGAGAATATGATGAAAGCTACAAATCGTCTCCCTAGAAAAATGTACATAAATGTAAAAATTTTGCTTCCATCAAAGCTTGCTGGTAAGCTTAGAGTTTAGCCCTGCAGTAAGCTGGGAAAGTCTCCATTCAGTTTGTGTAGGAAACCATCTCCCTGATCCTAGGCACAACTTCCGAATTAGGACAAAGTAGCTTTTCTCGGTGACTCCCCAAGGGCCAGCACTGCTTGTTTTCTTTTTCCGGGTTCCTCAGAGCTACATATCACTTAGATTAGGCTTTCTGCAAACCCACTTGAGGAAAGTTTGTTTTCAGCACATGGGCCCAGTCAGGAGAAACGGCCCTCTCAGTAATACCGTCCTCCTAAAGCAAGCCGATAGGGGTGGCCTGCCTTGTCTTTTGTTATTATGCTTTTGCAATTTTTTTCCTCCTTCCTCCATTCCAGAAAGTGGGCACTGTGTGTATTTGTATGCACCCACATGTTCAAAGTAAAGACCACCCGCTACTGTTAAGAAGACAAAGACTTTTTGTATAAAACACACAAAAAAATAATTGCTCCCACTCCATCAACATAACAAATTGTCTTCACTTCCTTCCACAGGCAAGTCTTGCCGTTGCTTTTCTATGACCTCTTTTCCCTGTGATGACTGCCCTTCAATGCTTATCTCTAATTTTTCTTGGGATTAAAATGTACGAAGAGAGCCTATGGCCTTAGTCCCCAAATGCATGGTTCTAGTTCCATTTTCAACAGCAAGGACGGGTCCTCTGGCCATGTGCTTCCAATCTGATCTTCTAAGCCATTCATAACACTGTCATCATTATTCAACGACTTTACTAGGTGTCTACTAGGCATGTTTTAGGGGCACAAAGATAAGAGTTCTGCTTTAATGGAACTCAGTCTGCCGTTAGAGAGCGTTTTGTTTTGGTTTTTTTCAAGACCAGTTGCTCAAGTCACTTTTCAGCTCAAAAACCTTCATAGGCTCACTAATGGCTACAGAATCCAGACTCCTTAGCATGGAAGTCTAGGCCCACTGTGATTTCACATCTTACCTTTTCAGCTTCAATGTCTGCCCCCTTCATGCACTCCCTGCCCAGACACACTGAACTCCTTCCTGATCACTCTGAGAACACCGCACAGAACTCTGCTGCTTCTCTGTTTATATGGTTTTCTGATACTGCGCACCTGAATCCTAGTCACACTAGTACATAATAGGTGATCAATAAATATTTGTTAAATCAACAGAGGAATGAATACAACACTGGGGAGGGGGGGAAGAGTTTAAGGATTAAAACTAGTGGAAATGTAGGGTGAAACTCAGCACGTTATGAATGGGCACTGGGGTTATACTTAGGATTATCGGATTTTTATTTGGAGTTTACAGAACAGAATAGGATTGGGTTTCTCTGCTAACACACAATTCATCCACACTGTACGCCGCAATATCATCAGACAAGGGAATCTCAAATATTATCAAGAAATCGGGGATGGGTAGATTTAAATACAAATTCATCTTACAGTTAACTAGTTACAAACAGAGCAAGAAGTATAATACGATGCAAAGAGCTAGGGCTGGATAGGCGTATGTATGGGCTTTTGTTGGTTGTGAATGTCGCAGGAATGCAGTATCTGGCACTTGAACTGTAGCTGAAATGGGAGCGCAAACTACAATCCCCGGAGCACCGGCAAGGCTCGTGAGAGGCCCGGAGCCCTCCGAGGAGAGGCTCCATCTTTTCCATGCACTGCCCACAGCTCTCACCTCTTTTAGCTCGTCTCCCTCTTCAAGCCTCAAGCGCTGACGTTGCCATAGTTGCGTGAGGTCAGCTTGTTCTTTGACTGCCCCCAGCCCCGCACCCCTCCCAGCTTGCGGCAGTCCAATCGCCATCTGTAAATCCTGTCGCCGGCATCCGGGGTCTCTTAGGCAACAATGTGTGGGCTCTTGATTGGCCGGGAGAGCCAGGAGGGCTGGCTCCAAAATTGGGCGCAGGGATAAAATTAAAAAGTGTGGGCGCCAAGGGGATGGGAGGGACTGTGATATCTCGCTCTAACTCGAGAACGAAGATGCGTCGAATCCTGAAACAAGCAGCGTTGCAAACCTTGGTTCAAGGCAGGTGTGTTCCAAACGAGCCCTACCTACTGAGCATGCCCGGTTCTACTGTCCCTGTCACTCTGGAGCTCCGAAATGCAAACTCCACTTTGCCGGGTTTTAAGAGTGGCCAACAGGTTAAAGAGGGTTGGAGGAAAAAGGATTCGCAACTGGCTCAATAAAAGAATAGCACCTGCCACAGGAAGTGGAAGGACGCGGGGGAAATTGCCCAACACAGACACACGGATGCTTCAACACAAATTTCAGTTTATTGGATTTTGGAATTTAGGCTGGTTGACAGATACACCAGGGAACCAGCAGATGGCATGCCTTAATAAGAACCACTCTAAATTTGGGAACCCTTAAAAAAAATCGGTCTAATTTAATTAATTAAATTTATTGAGCGCCAGAAACAGAGTGAGAATACAAGGATAAAAAAAGAAATCAAATCAGGAAGACTGGAAAATGCAATGTCTAAGAAGGCTCCCAGTCGTACAGCTGTGGTAGAATTATAAACAAGTGCAAGAGAATAGCAAACTCAAAATTCCAAAGCAGAGTTCTTTTGGTCAATGAAAAGCAGTTCTTATGGGGAGCAACCAACAACAAAACAAATGTGACAAAAAAGAGACTTTCTTTACTATTTTTGTTTCCTAAAAATAGATAAGAATGTACTCTCCTTCAACTTAAATGTACAAACCCTGTTTGTATTGTGTTCCATAGTTTTTAAACAGGCAGCATTTGTATACCTCCAGTGTAAAAGGAAAAAGGAAAGTGAAGCTCATAGAAGTTGCTTCCCTTAAATTAACAAAGGATCAGTATGGCCAAACTGAAATTAGAACCCAGGTTTGTGAATTCCAGCCTACTGATTTTTCCACATGACCAGGTTGCATATAAATGAATAAACAAAGCCTTGGGGGTGGGGAGGTGAGGGGAGGGTCTGGGGGCGGTGTGTAGACGCAATACTAAATTACCATGCATTAGTAGTTAACGTTTATGGTTTCAAAACGGGTTCATCCAGAAAGAGACCAGTTTTAACAATGTCGAGAGTGCTGTGTCTCTCTGTGAAGTTCCCACTCATTAAAGACGTTCTATTGGTGGTTACAACATGGAATGAAAGAGAGACGGGATCATAGAGAGCATGTCAGGTTAGCCCTAGTTTGCCCTCCCACCCAATGCCTTCTGTGCCTCTTCTCTGCGCTTCATCCTCTGACCTGGCTCGCCTAAGAGAGTCTGAGCCATGCCATTCACAGTGAGCACTTGCAGAACTCAATGTCTGTGATACTTCAGCATTACTTTTAAGTGGGATATTTCAAACATAAAAAGTTTAGAGGCTGGGTGAGGTGGTTCATGCCTATAATCCCAGCGCTTTGGGAGGCTGAGGTGGGAGGATTACTTTGAGGCCAAGAGTTTAAGACCAGCCTGTGCAACACAGCAAGACCCCATCTCTACAAAAAAAATAAAAAATTAGCCAGGCTTGGTGGTGTGTGCCTATAGTCCCAGCTGCTCTAGAGGCGAAGGCAGGAGGATCGCTTGAGCCTAGGAGTTCAAGGCTGCAGCGAGCTATGATGACACCACTGTACTTCAGCCTGGGCGACAGGGTAAGATCCTGTCTCTAAAAACATTAAAAAATTAAAGAAAAAAAGAAAAGTTTAGTGATTTTTCATAAGGAACACCCTTGATTCTCCATGGAGATTTTTTCTTTTTTGAGACAGTCTCATTTTGTTGCCTGGGGTAGACTGCTGTGGCGTCAGCCTAGCTCACAGCAACCTCAAACTCCTGGGCTCAAGCAATCCTCCTGCCTCAGCCTCCTGAGTAGCTGGGACTACAGGCATGCGCCACCATGCCCAGCTAATTTTTTCTGTATATTTTTAGTTGGCCAATTAATTTCTTTCTATTTTTAATGGAGACGGGGTCTCCTTGCTCAGGCTAGTTTTGAACTCCTGACCTTGAGTGAGCTAGGATTACAGACATGAGCCACTGAGACTGGCCCATGGAGATTTTTTAAAATGTTACCTTTGTGTGTGTGTGTGTGTGTAAGAGATACAATAGAAGCTCCTTTTGTAAACTTCCCATGTCTCATTCCCCTTCCTGCCTGCATAGAGGCAGTCATTGTCATAAAATTGGTAACCTTCCTGTCCATTTTTTATGCTTTTATTATACATACATGTTTGTCCTCATAAACAATATATAGTATTGGTAGGTGTTTAAGAGGCATCATCATTTACATATCTTATAGTTTGTTTTTTTCACTCAATGTTGTATTTCTGAGATTTAGTCTTGCTGATACACTTGTGATCATTTCTACATCATTCCCACCTCCCAACGTAAGCTATGATGTACCCCCTGCCTGACAGTCTTCACAGGACGGTGTGTAAATTGAATACAAATGCGTCTCTAGAGGTACTCAGCTACAAGGATCTGGCACACACAGATTTCCCATACGCTATCTGCTCCTTGTGCATCCTCAGCAGAGGAACCACTGGCTCCACCGGCCTGCCTAGAATCGATCTAAGGATCAATATTATCATTTTTAAAAAATTGTTACTGCACAAGTGTTTACTTATTAGAAAAATTGAAACTGTCATTTCAGATCTCATTTATTATGTTTGTTTACATAGCTCACCTGTTGTGAAACTCTAAGCTCAGTACTCTTCAGTATTTACTTATTTATTGAGCGCTTTTTTAAAAAAAACTGTAATATAAACGTAACATAAAATTTACCATCGTAGCCATTTTTAAGAGTACAATTCAATAGTGTTAAGTACATTCACATTTTTCAATATTACTTTAAATCCTATGTGCTAACAGAACAAAATGATGCCCGTGAAGTCTAGCTTGGAGAGGGACGAAAAGAGACAGAAAAATAGGTTAAACGGTGTAGTGAAAAGAAAAACAGCCTTAGCTTTGAATGAATCCAGACCTTGTCATTAAAATGTTGCATAGCTCTGGGTAAGTCATCTAACCTTTTGGGGAGTTCTTTTCCTCGACTGAAAGGTGGTTTAGGTCATCTCTAAGGGCTCTTTCAGCTCTAAAACCACTCATGTAGAAAAGGTGAGGGGACTCATTTCCTAAAGGGCAAAACATGGGACACGCCACCAGTAACTATAATCTCCACCTGTTTACCAAGGTCTTGGCAAAGGGGGCTGTATTCCTGTTCCTGGCTGCTCCGCCGTTTCGGCGTGGAGCTCTGCAACAGACCAGGTGCCGACCGCTACCTGCACCCAGTTCTAACCTGAGCACCAGGTGACCCGCCTCTTGACCCCAGTCGCCGAGTCCCGAGGCGGGCACGCTGGTTCTCAGACCAGGTTTGCTGGTCTTGCCACAACCCGTTCTTCCGCGGGAGAGGGAGTGCTTTGCGAGGAGGGCCCCGTGCACCTCAGACGAACGCTCGCAGGGCTCGGAACCGGCACGCCGCCGGTGCAGGGACGCTGGAGCGTCACCTAGGGCGCCAGGCGGAGAACAACGAAGCGGGCCCGGCCAGCCCCGCGCAGTCGAGTTCTAGCTAACAGCGAGCGCTTGGCCGAGTGTAGCGCGCCTGCGCCGTGCGTGCGCGCGCACTCGCTCCCCGGGCCGCGCGCCCCGGCGCTCGCGCGAGCTCGCGGTCGCTCCGAGGCGCGCGCCGGCTGTCCTCGGCCGCTCCGGGTACCTGAGGGACGCGCGGCCGCCCTCGGCCGGCGCTGCAGCCATCCCCCCCGCTCTGGAGCCGGGCCCCGAGGTCTGAGGTGAGCCCCGAGGCGAGCGGCCCCCCGAGCCGGGGCGGCGGACAGGGGAGCGGCGGGTGAGGAGAACGAGGAGGTGCGGTGCGGCTGCTCCGCCGAACCCTGTGCCGAGAAGCCAGCGGCAGCCGGGCACCTCCTCCTCAGGGATCGTTCTTCGCGTCGCGGCCAAAACAAAAGCCTTGGGCGCCGGGCTGTGGCGGGGTGTCGGAGCGGCTCCTCGGGCTCCAGCCCGGGGCGGGGGGCCGCGGAGGCGCCGACTTCGGGGCTGGGGGTGGGGGGCTCAGGTGGGAGAAACCCCGGGAGACGGTTAACCCTGTGGGTCCGGAGCCTGCGCCCGGCAACCTGTGCGAGTGTGGCCCGCGGCTCGCGCCCCGCCGCCCCGGCCCAGACCCTGCGCGGATGGAGCGGGGCCCGGCGGGCCGCGGGGGCGTGGGTGGGCGGACAATGACCGAGGGCTCCCGCGCCGCCGGCCGGGACGCGCGCCGCGATGCTCCGCTGGCCCGGACTCGTCTCGGCGCGGGGCCCACCTTGTCTGGCCAGCGCCTAAAAGTTGTCCCCCATCAGTTTGCAAAGTCTGGTACCCTCTTCCCAGGGCTTCCCCCCGCCGCCCCTTTTCGTGGTGTGTGTGTGTGTGTGCCATGGGGTGGGTACTGCTTGGATGGCCTCCGAAATAAAGGAGCTGTTACAATGTGAAGCAGGATTCAGCAGTCTTGAGTCATTTCAAGAAATGTAAACATCTTCCTAGAGGCTTTCACATCTTAGGAGTCTTGGAGTTAGATCTCTCCCATAAGAGAAAGAGGGCTTTTTTTTTTTTAAAGAACAAAAGCCACAAGCCATGAATTTTAGACGGAGGACTTACAGTTTGAAGATTTAGACTTACAGTTTAAAGATTTCTACCTCATAAAAGAGGTCCAGTTTTTTTTTGCCCGGTGTAAAATGAAAATTTGAATTGTGGTTCCCTTCTCAATTTAGGTAGGTGCAGCAGCAGAGCAGACCAGCTGCATCAGTGAGTGCCATGTGAACGCATTCAAACAATCTTATTTTGTAAAAGTGGTTTTGATAGACCTGGATTGTGTATTTACAGGAATTGAGTTACTTTGCAAAGCCACTACCGTATGAGCAAGGAAACAAAGACCTCAGTGACCCTGGGGATATTAACCCGTCCTCCCTCACCCTTTTAGCCTTTAGTGATGTGCTGGTAGCCCTTATGGCATTATAGGCTAGGAAAGGAATGAAAGCCTTAGTTATTTTATTAAGGAGCGATTACTCCTGAAGATAACACTTTGTATCTTTACTTTTAAACAAATCAATACTATCTTTTTCTTCCAGGGGAAAACCAAAACAAA